CTCTCTCTCTCTCTCTCAGATCAAGATATAAGACATTACCACATGGTTCTGTGCACTAGCCTGCCCAAGGTACCAACCATCTGCGACTCCTACTAGTGGGCAAACCAATGCGGGCACTTCATCTTGAATTTTGTACCTCCAAAGCTGTTAGCTAAGTAAATATGTTTAGGACATTAGATGCCTCAAGCACTTCACTGTAGTAATGCATAGCTGACTACTACACCCGTGGAATGATTACAAATTAAATTTATTTTGAATTCATTAAATGGCCCTAATAGCTTAATGTCTCTCTTCAAATTATTATTTTAGTGTCAAGATTAGATTCTTAAAATATGTGTAGTGCTCATGTTAAAATATCCATAATATAATGATATATATTCATAAATTATGTTATTATGCAATTTCCTTCTTCTTTGAGAAGAAATGGTACTAGTAGGTACACAGTTAATGGTACCGCGATACGGTCCGAGTCCCAGGCTGACACTGGACGCACAGCGCGCTCTACACATAGCGTGGTGTGACCCTGAGCTCTTGTACCTCATAATCCAGGTCCAGGTAGTCGAACTCCCCGTTGGTGCGGAAGTGCTGCAGGCTGCGGTCCAGGGTAAGGTTGATGCTCCGACCCTGGCGCTCAATGAGAACGGAGTGCCAGTGGTGGTCGTCCAGCAGGCTTCCAGTCGTCACAGATGTGTGGCCGTAGATGGGGCCCAGCTGATTGCTTCCTGAGTCATGCGAAGAGAAAGGAAATAAGAGGATGCGCACCCAGCCCACGGTGAGCACCTGGCCCACGCTGGCCGCCCAGCCCACTGTGGCAGCCCATCGGCCCACAGTCCCTCAATGGGACGAGAGAGACTGATATTTCCTCTAGACTCGGCCCCTTGAAGCTATCCGGGGAGAACCAGGAGGAGGCAGTTCTTGAGACACTTTTATGTTCAAAGTGCAGAAAAGTAAAGATGAAAACCAAAAATATCTCTTAGAAGTAACAATAAAAAGTGACTTAAATTTTTTTTTTACTATGCCATAAATTCTGCTAAATGCTAGTGGCTCCTTAGGACATCAGTGTCTCATGGGCCCAGAGCCTAAGGACCTGGTGAGCGTGGTCACTGTGGACCTGGAGAGAGAGAGAAAGAGAGAGAGAG